AGAATTTTGTTAAAGACAATTCCTGAAATAGACGATAACACACGTGAAATATTTGCAACACTGACATTATGCATCAAGCACTCATAGACTGACTGGCGAAATCTGTGAAAATATTTTCCTGCTTCTTTTGTTACAATATTGCGATGATCAGCTAAAGATTCTTCCAACTTGGCTACTTCATTTTCCAAATATGAAATATGTTCTCTTTCTTTGCGCAGCTTGGTTTTCATTTCTTGAATGTTCAAGAGAAACTTCTTAGACTCCTGTCTGATTTCATCAATTTCCTTTATTAAACGATCCCTCTCTGTCTCTGTTGTTTTTTTTGAACGTTTTGAGATTCTAACCTGCTTTTTCAAACAATTGTTTTCCTCTATATATGCTTCAAGAGGAGCAACCCTTTTGAGTAACTTTCGCTGTTCCTGCGTTCCAGTCTATTTACTTTTCTCATTTCTGTATATGCTCTCATTATCATGACATATTTAGATCTCCAAAGAGTGGCTGACTGTGATTGCCTCCTGATCTTCTCATTCAGAGTTTTCAAAGACATCTGTTTTCTTTCCTTTCTGTAATGCAGTCTAAGTGTTTTTAATCTGCATTCGCAAGCTTTTGTTCTCCTTCAGCATGTTCAGATTTGTCCGCTGCTTGTTGACACAGTTGTCACAGTCCCTTTTTAGACGCTTTGGCGATGGTGACCTAGAGCGCACTAAAAAGGATGAATCGTCAGAGGTTAACCCCACAACAGCAACCACTGGTGGTTCTGAAGTGTCTTGTAAAGGCATTGGTACAGATGTGTGTTCTGGTTGTGTAAACAGTGTGTTTGTATGTTCTGGTTGCATGAGTGCTGTGGAAGTTATAGCTGATGAATCAACTGTTTGTGCTGTATCATCATGAAACGATATGCCCAATGGCTCTTGGCTTAACCTTACAAAACCATCCCACTGCCTCTGAAATTGGTAGCAGAATTTTTTTTTTGGCTATGATCTTTATATTATTAATAGCACTTAATGTTCGTTGCTCGTGTAGATGTTTGTCTGGCTCTGCCATCTGCACAATTTCCTTTATTCTTCTGCCTACATCAGAAACAGAAAGTTTGTCAATAACAAGTAACCTTGTTACGTAGCCCTTCTTGATTGGATACTCAGGCTCAAAGCTTGCCAGGTGCGCTCTCATATCACTAGCGGTTCTATTTGCCATTGTTGTGAGACAGTGAATCTGTGCAAGAAAAAACATTTTGTTGATTGATACTGATATGGCGATATGCAGATGCTGAAATTAAAAAAATGTCAAATAATATCTCAAAGTAGAGAATTGAGACATATTGAAAGGCATGTGAATTTTAATTGATTATGATAATATACTTGAGACTGAGAACTTCTCATTACATATATGATATAAATGAAACAAACAGAACAGCTGGTGATTAATAAAAAAAATTTTAACAATAATTATTATTTCACAAGAAAAATAATTTTAAGAATTTATTTAAATAATAAATTAAATTAAAAATACTCAAGACTCATTTGAAAATAATAATATACTCATACTGGCAATATAAAACCATACCTCTACTTTTAAATATGTGAAAGAAACTGATAACTATAAGGGTGAAAACAGAATAACCAACAGTTTATTAGTTATAATGAAACAACGTGAATGAAGTTTATGAAGTGTTGCTATGGCAACGTACTTTTAGCGAACCGACCACCCCTTCGTTCCTTTGAGACAGGTCTAATTAAAATCTCTATATCTAATAACGCCGATCATTGAAAGAGTTAACATTTGTCTGAGATCTGTAAAAATGGATAGAGAATTTAAACATAACTAAATAATTCTAAGGCTCAGCATATAACCATATTGTAAAACACATAACTAGATGACATTTTTCAACAAAATACTAGTCTTGATAGCTACTTGGTGTCCCTATGAAAAACCTGCCGCACATCAATAAATAATCGCAAATTGCCATTAAATATGCTGAAATTATATGCAGGCTTCAAATAGTATTGCCAGAATGTGACTTAAAATAATAAAAATCAAATAAATACGCACGTTAACGAGGTTAAACTCAGGTTGACTATGAAGGTTTATTTTCGCGAGTTTCAAAATGGGCGACTAGAAATGAACTTTCAAGTGATGCACTTCTAAAAAATGTACTGTGAATTATGCCGATTAGTAATATTGCTGAAAATTTACACACTAATAGATAAATGGATGCTGAATCTAATTATTTCTAGTAAATTTATTAGGCTTACCTCAAAGTCTTTAATGGATATAGTGAACTTACCTATATATTCACAACGGAACAACGAAAACATACAGTCAACCACAGATTCAACTTACCACATGTGCTCGCAACTGAACGTCAAGTCTTACGTTCGAGCTATTTATAGCTAGGGAAACCCCGTGATTTGGCGTGCTTTTCAAACGAATTTAGGGCACCCCGAATCGCGCCGAAGTTTTCCGTAAGCACATTTTTTCTAAATCGGTGACGTCATCATTATTCAAAGGTCACGTGCCGGGGGCGTGTCCGTAAAACTCCTTTAGAGTTCACAGCAGATGCATTATTTCCACAACGGAGATTGGCAGTGGATTCAGGGCTTTCACTTTTGCAAAATTGCTTGCTTTTCCAGGTGTTCGTCGGTCTCACTGTTTTTTCATTTTTATGTTTTTTCTGAGACTTTTCTGGAGTTTCAGATATAAAATATTGTTCTCATAACAAAGAAAAGTTCAGGAAAGTGTAGACAATACATTTTTCACAATTCTTTTTTTTTTTTAACAATTCTAAACCCAGTAACCTTGCAACTACAAGCAAGTCACAAGACATCCAATGAACTAGCTGAAAAATTTAATGCCTTTCAACTTTCACAATGTGCCTTCTCTCCCCCCCCCTTCCCCGTCCCCCCGTTTGTAACAGACAGCTAGACTTCATTTTCCAAACCTAAAGGATTTCATTTTTTCAACAGTGGCTCAGCAGCTATAGCCATTGGAATGATAAATTGTTACAAGAGCTTCAGAATACTTTCAACAACAGATTTAAGGATTTCAGTATTTCAAACACTAATATATATATTTAAAAAAAATTTTTAGATCCTTTTAATACACCTGTAGATGTTTTTTCTTCTAGAATGCTCAGAAGCTGTTATCCTTTGCTAATGAAGGTTCTCTGCAGTTAAATTTGTGGATATCCAAAGTTACAGTGCACTGAATAAAGATTTTCAAGAAAATGGTACAGTATAGTTTTTACTATGTTTGGTTTAACTTTCACAGGTGTAGTTTTTGTGTGTGTGCCTCATATTGTCTTAGACAGCTTGTCTCAAATTGTGCTTTTTTTTTCTCCAAATTTCAGAGATGCAGAAGATTCAGTCAGACAAAGGGATGGTTACAACTATGATGGCTACACATTGAGAGTGGAGTTTCCTCGAGGTGGAGGAGGGCCGGGAGGTCGCGGAGGCTTCAGAGGCAGGGGTGGATATGGAGGAGGAGGTGGTGGTGGTGGAGGAGGCAGAGGTGGGGGACCACCCTCAAGAAGGACACAGTACCGAGTTCTGGTTTCAGGTTTGTCATTGTTGTATATTGTACGATTTGCTTGAATAGCGGGGTGTTTCATACATTAACTATGAGTGAGCAGCAGATGAAAAACTGATTAGAGAGAGGATTATGTTTTTTTCCCTTCTTTCTTTTACGTTCATGTTATATTTGAAAAAATAATTGGAAAACTGGCCATCTTGATGAGAGAAAAGCATCATTAAGTGCCTTGCCAGATGTCGTAGGCGTTTGTGCATCTTCACAGATCACGGTCTTTGGTGTTCTGGATCAATTTCACTGATGATATTCCTCTACGTCACTGTCTTAAGCCATCCAATGTCATTCTGCCTCTTCTACCAGTGATCTTTCCAGTCTTCAAGATATTTTCCAGTGCTACTTTTCTCATCACGGGACCAAAGAACTTTGTCAGGTCTCCTCATTCTCTTTCCAGTTGTCAGTATTTTCCAGTGCTACTTTTCTCATCACTGGACCAAAGAACTTTGTCTGTGTCTGGTCTTTTTCTCATTGTCATATAAAATGTTGTGCTTTAATTAGGCACTTCAAGGCAATCATTTTTTGTTGTTCTGGCAACATTCTTCTCAGTTGCCTAAAACTGTTCCTAATTGAAAAGTTTAGGTTCAAAAAAATATTTTCAAATAATTTTTTTTTTTCTATTCACAAGGGCAGTGCTCATGGCCTGCTGGTGGGAGGGAAATAAAATCTTTTATCATTTGTTGTTGTTGTTGAAAACTTTGATGTTTGTTCTTAGGGACAAAAATCTAGGACAAAAATTCACTTTAGAGATAATTAAAGCATTCATGCGAACTTTTATTTCCCTCTGCCTTTAAAAAAAAATTTAAAAAACTAGGGCAGTGGTGTGCAACCTGAAGGTGCAGGGCATACTGTAGTTTCAGGGGAGGTGGTGGTGAAGTTTTGAAAATGACTATTTGTACTTTTGATAATTAGGATTTTTAAACTAGGAAAGTGGTCTGCAACCTGGGGGGAGCGGAAGAGGATAATCAGAATTTTCAACTGAAAAGGTCATTCAGACAACAGTTTCTTGTAAAGTTTGTGGCTGTTGTAGATATTGTTTCTCCGTGTTCACTGTAAACTGTAGCAAAGTGCTCTGGTTCTTCATCCTCTGCCAGACTTCTCGTGTTCTAGAACTTTGTATGCACATCCGCTTTACAGATTTGGCTTGATTTTTTTTAATGCCGACTGTTGGTTCACAACCTCTAAGGCAGATGCACTCTTACTTTGAAGGAAACTCCCCTAATAAGTTGACTCTACGTGATATGCTTACTGTGGGACAGTGAGTTTTTTTCCCCTCCTTTCTGCAATGTGACCCCTTAAACTGCAAATGGAGAAATGTTTATTTGTTCATGTGACTATTTGGTCATGTTGGCTCTGGTGTTTATATTTGGCCATGTTTGACTGTTATGGTCATGTTTGCCCTGTCTATTGTTTGTATGCAGGTCTCCCTCCCAGTGGCAGCTGGCAGGATCTCAAGGACCACATGAGAGAAGCTGGGGATGTCTGCTATGCAGATGCATTCAAAGATGGCACAGGTGTGGTTGAGTTTCTTCGCAAAGAGGATATGAAATATGCTGTAAGAAAGTTGGACGACACTAAGTTCAGATCCCATGAGGTAGGTTTGCTTAAAAAAAATTTCAGTGTGCTGAATGTCTTTCTTAATAAATATATTCTTAGTCTCTTGAACATGAGTACATTTAACAGTACATGTTAGCAAGCACTAGGATTTGATCTAGCAGTTGACAAACTGGTTTAGGTGTGAGGGTTGCAGTGCGGAAGATATTGGGGTCGCACCATGTAACATGCGTTAAGGCAGCGACGTATACTGTAGCACAGAAAACTATTTGTAATCATGTCCGTCCACATCCTTCTGGCTATGGCAGAGGTTCTTGATAAAAATATGCATGCAAAAGGAGCTTTCGTAGTACTATAAAAATTTGTGAAGGTCAATATAAACTAATACTAAACTAAAAAAAAAAAATCTTTAATTCAAATGCTAAGCAGTACTGCATAGAGCTGAAACATGGACAAGTAAAAACTTAATAAAAAAAAAACTTCATTCATTAACTGATGCATGTACGGAATAGAGAGAATTAAATGGTATGATAGAATCACTAAGGTTGAGCTTTGGGAGAGAACTAAACGTTTTATTAGACAAAGACGGGGGAAAAAAAGCGCTGGATAGGACTTAATAGTAAAAAATTAAAGCAAAATAAATAGTCCTTGCACTAGAACCCACTGCGGCGTAGAAAAAGCCATGGAGAAGGGAGCTCGAGAGTGAAGTTGATGGGACGGTCATGGTTGAGCTGCATGTAGTAGTGAAGGATAGAACAACTTGGTTGAGAGCCAGTCTTCCACACCTGATGTGCTGAAAAAGAATCTAGGTTGTCTGATTTTGGAAATGTTTTGTGCTGGGGTATTTTCTTTCAAGGCATCTTCTATACACTTTGGTGTCAACAGCTCTCTCTTTCTGTCATTCTAATGTAAACTCATCACTTGTGTGTGGCCCTTAACTGCTGACAGTGGGTTTTTGCAGCTTCTTTACCTCTTGCTTGGAACCTGCCCCCTGAATTGGGAACAGATGCCTTATACTTCCCCTTGGCCCCCCCCCCCCCCCCCCCCACAGGCACATGTTGACTAATTGGAAGATTTGTTGGAAGTTGGACTGCATTTGTCGAACGACAAGGAATAATCAGCTGCACACAATTAAGCCAATTAAAATGGTAGTCCTCACAAAACTCAGGAGGCCCTGGCTAAAAGTCAAAAGGGACAAGAACAGACAGGGCTTCTCACTGGAGCTTATAGCCGGTGAACAAAAATAAAAAGGATGATAGAACAGAGTATGGGTGAATAAAAAACTAGAATGTCCCTCTCATGTTTACATCGATGTAATGCTAAAAGGTTTGACATGTGCTGCTTTTATAATCATTATTAATTACACAGTATCTTATCTGTTACTAGATGTACACCCACTGCATCTTCTTATGATCTTATCCAGGGTGAAGTTGCATACATCCGCGTCAAAGAGGACAACCCTCGCAGTTCTCGCAGCCACAGTGGCAGCCCCAAGAAGTCGAGGGGCAGCCCTCGATATTCACCAATGAGAGAGCGATCGTACACCCCGTATTAACTGAAGCTGTCGAAAAGGGAGGAAGGAATTAATCACAGAAAGCTGGTGTTTTTTCCCTTATTTTTAAAATCAAGTTGAGAATTTTAAATAGTGAAATAATTTGTTGTGTAAACTTTTTGTAAGACATGTTTAGCTATGGCATTTTTGTTTGTGTTATTTCTTTTAATAAATGATTTGTCTTGTCTGGGCTGTTCTGAATTAATAACAATTGGATGGCTAATTTGGGAAACAAGTGACTTTAGACAGAAGTGTAGCCGCTTCTATACAGTGAACGTCAGTGAGATACGTCAAAGAGGGATCAAAGAACTAATTAAACGTCAAAGTATTCAGTCTTAGTTGGGATAAATGTCTCAGACCATCATATGTATGTTTGAGTGTACAAGTCTGATCATTCTAGCATTTAGTCTACAGGTTATTATGTTGCTAATTTAGGGATTGGTGATTGCAGAATATTGGTGTTTCACTGTTGTGTGTTAAGTTTCAGGCAGATGTATCTTGTTGTATCAGATACCTATGTTTGTGTGAAATACATGATTATAGATCAATCTTCAAAGTAGACACCGATTCATTTGAAAAGAGTTTAAATTCTAGATATTAAAAAGTGTAACTTGAGTTTCATATTTCAAAGGCAATTGTGTTACGGAAGGTCTTTTTCAAGCATTTTTTTGTTTTAGGATATTTTTTAAAATCTCAATTTCAAGCAAATATAGCAGGTAATCTCAGATAAAAAAATTTTTTTTAAATATTCTAATTACAGAAAGTGACCTTTTTAAGTTAATTTATAGGGAAACTAATTATTTCTAAATCCAATAGATTTTGTTGACTAAGTAGTACTGTCTTCTTAGTAAGTGTGTATGAATTATAAGGAAACTGAATCTAGATGTCATGTTGTAAACTAGGTACCTTTGATGTCCATTTGTTGATTACATAGGATGATCATATTGATAGCATGCCCATGTTGACCTTGTGTTGCTGTGCTTCCTCAGCGCTCCTAATGTCAAGCTTCCCTAGTCGATCGTGACTGGAGGGGATGATTGAGGAGCGCCGGAGGCAGGGATTGGACAGGATGGGTCGCCTGTGGAGGCTGGACCTGCTGGCCAGTCCGCACATTCCTGGCCCTCTGTTAATGGACGTTGTCCAATGGTACGCTTGAGAAAACAAATATTTGTCTCGCTTCAGTTGATCATTAATCTGTTTCTTTGAATATTATTTCAGATGTGGATGGGTGTACTTTTAGTTTGTTATGTCATTGTGTGATGTGTTCATGTTTATGTGTGTTTTCTCACAAAACAGTGGATGATCAAATACTGCTGGTTGAGGGGAAATAAAATCTTTGATCATTTTTGGGAAACTTTTTGTTCTTTGGGATACAATCTATCACTCACAAACTTACATTGGATTTAATAAAAGCAGGTGTGTGAGCCTTTGCTCAAGGAAAACTAAATGGAAAACTATTATGGAACTCAGCAGAAGGAAGTAGGGGAAAAGGACATATTGGCTGCATTTGAACTTTGCTCGAAACCTGGTGTTTTATTGTTTGATATCGGCTTGATCATGGTCGCTTTCATTTTTATGCCATTTTTATCAAGCAATCAGTCATCGCGCCCAGAGGCACACATGGCAGAGACAAACCGTTGCCATTCAATTAAATCCTGAGCCATCCTTTCTATCTTCAGTTTTGTTCTTTCCGTAGCCTTGAGTTAGTTTACCCTCAAAGGTTGTACAAGGGTCTCTGGGCCTGCCTCCTCCTTGTGGTATCCCATTGCATTGCCTGTCTCATCTATCTCTCTCTCTTTATTCTGAGATCGTGTCCAATTCACCCCCATCTTCATTATTTTGACATTTTACATCTATTAAGTCTATCATTCGTTGTAATCTAGAATTGCTGATTTTATCATTATTATGTGAATTATATGTAATGATTAGGACATGGTAACACACAATGCAAATTCAGATGTTAATATGTAACACTTTCATCATTGATAAATCTTTTAACAACAGAAAGCAATTTTCAAGCAAGTGCTGTAAGTTATAACAGGTCATAACTAATTTTCCTTTTGCAACTTTTTTTTAGTTGTCACTTAATCATATCTTCAGAAGTTCTTCAACTTTCGGTAGCATATGTTTGAATTAATTAAGCCGTTTCAAAACTGTCGGCATTCTTGTTATTGTCAAAGCTTTTTTAAAGCTGATATTGCCGTAACTTTCGTAATTTCATTGATAATAAAAACTGCTTGTAGTTATTATAATTAGTTACAGTCTGTTACTTTTATTCTTCTTATTGTAGCATCTGCTTGGTCTCTTGTTTGTGTCTTTTACTTCATAACTGACCAGTACACATCAATTCATGAATTGTTTGCGAATTGTCTATGCGACCACTGTATTTGTTTTTATGTATGTCTTTGTTTCAGACAGTGAAATAAAACATGTTTTTACTTTTAATTCAATGCTAATACTTGTTTTTCCATTTTTCTTTCTCTTATAGTTGGAAACATAAATGGATAAGGAATGGAAAGGATTGGATGGATTGGATTAATAAGGAATAAATTGGAGTGTAGGATTAGGATAAAGATTCAGGGTGGAAGATGGATTAGGGTTGCGGGATTTGCTTTCATGGATTTTCTTGGATGTTAAAATATATACGGAGGATTTCTGGATGTGGAAGAGGAGGAGCTTCGACTCTTGCCAGCCGGATATCCGCCGGAAAAATGGAAACGTTAGTTGTAAAGGTAATTTTTTAAGAAAGTTAGATAAGCTGAATTAGAGCCGTTAGGGGTCGTTTTAAGTCATTTGTGTTTATTTCTAAAAATAAAATGTTCAGTTGAACGAATGTGAAGTGAGAATGGTTGGGGATTTTAAGTGTGTTAGCTTACTTAAGGTAGTAGATTCACGGATAGTTATGTATGTTTGAATTGTTATAAGTAAAGGACCCTCTTCCCTTCCTGTTAGGTATTCAGTGCTAGACCTGTATTTATTACATTAATCGCTGCTCTGTGAGTGATGGGGTTGTTATTGCACTAGCGGCTTTTACTTTCCAGAACATTTCCTTGTGTCCAATTAGGACTAGATCAATTGGGTTGCCAGATTTTTTTTAAAGTTTTCTGATTGAACCCATGATCTTTGTTACTACACCGCAGGTTTCCCGCTAGTCTTTTTTAAACCTGGAGAAAAAATATTACATGAGATCACTGTTTAAAAAAAATATATACATAGTTTCTTTAAACATTTATTTAAATAAGCAAAATATGCGTGAATAAAAGATTATTACAGTACTCAGTTTCAAAATTGCTTGGATCCCCCCCCCCTCCCCCCAACCAACCTGCAGCTTCATTATATACCCACTGTTGTACAACGATGTCTAGCCATTACACAATGGTTGGTCCCTTAAATTTTATTATTGATACTGATTTCATAGTTTTATCTCCAATGTTCTCGGCTGTTACGGTTCATTGCTGTAGATATAACCTGAGTCCATCTCTAATTGTTCTTCTTCTTTTTTCAGTTGGTTTTGTAGTTCTTTTCATTACCTCCAGTCTTTTCTTATCCGACTTTATCTTCTTCTCTTCCACCATTCACTTTAGCTAGGTGTTTATGGGAGATGTAAGGATTGTTTGTGCGCTTTTCCAAATGCGCTGTAGACGTTTATTTTTGATGGTGTCGCTCCATCTCTTTCTTGGTCTTCCCCCTGCTCTGCGTTTATATTTTTTCATCCTAGCTCTCTGTGGCATTTGGTACCTGGACATTCTCGTCTGGTGGCCAAATCATCTCATGTGTTGTTTAATTAACTCTATTACTGGTTTCAATACTAATCTTCTGATTTTATCCTTTCGCGTCACACCGGCAGCTTTCCTAAGATATCTTCTCTGTTGTTACAATCTTCCGCTAATTAGTTGTTGTAAGGGTCTATGTTTGGCACTGGTAGCACAATGTCGCCCCCCCCCCCCCCCCAAAAAAAAACCCGTTCTTATGTTCTCTTTTCTTTTTCTTCGCCTGTTTAAATGTCAGTGTTTTATTACAATATTTTGAACCTTCTTAGTGGTTTGTAAACTAGTGCATGTTGCTGCTGCTTCTTCTCTCCTCCAGGGCAGGAGTGTCAGAAATACCCATGTAGTTTTTTAAACGTATTTTTAAAAAGGTTTGTACAGGCCTATAAGGTTTTTGATTGGGGGGGGGGGGGGGGGGCAGTAAACAGTATACCCAACTTGCCAGTGATATGGAAAGTATCTTTACCGTTGGGTTGTTCAATAGTATCAGAAAATAATCTAGCTTAGCATGTAGATAGCTTGTCATATATATCAGAACTGTGCGACATATTTATAGGGCCCAGCAATGACTTCCGTACTTGCAGTAAATAGAAAGGGGAGTGAGAGGTTTTGCTAGTTGTTGTTGTGTTAATAAAAAGAGAATAGATGAGATGCTAGTTTCTGCAGTCTTAGTAAATAGAGAGTGGATGAAATATTTGTTTTTGTAGTATCATTAAATAGTGAGTGGATGAAATATTTGTTTTTGTAGTATCAGTAAATAGAGAGAGAGACAGAATGAAATGAGTGGTTTTTGTAGTTTCAGTAAATAGAAAGTAGGTGAAATATTAATCTGTTTAGTGTTGGTAAAAACAGTGGTAGCATACAATGCTAGTCTTACAGTAATTGTAGATTTGGGTTAGGTTACAATATGTTTTTTGTAGTATCCCTAAATAGAGGCTTAAAAAAAATTTGTTTTTATGGAATCACTTCAGGACAGAATGAAATACCTGTCCTTGTAGTGTTGGTAAATAAAGGCTGAAATAAAATGCTGTCTGTAGCAATAATCAAAGGTTAGGTAGTTTTAAGCTTCTCTTTGTAGTATCAGTAAATAGAAATTATGGTGTTTTTTATGTAAGTAAATATTGGGGTGGAAGAAATACGAAACCTGTAGTGATAGTAATAGTGAAAGTGCAAGAGGAATGCATAATACAGTCTAGGTTTTGAATTTTTTTAAAAATAAATTGTATTTTTTAGTAC